CTGAACAAACCGGTATGGTTCTTCCAAAAATTTACAACTGAACATTGACTTAATACAGCTTTGAAACTTTACTGTGCAGAAGAAAAATGCTGCTTTTCACCATCGTAATTTAAATGAAACAAGCACAAAACAGCTTCCGTACCTTGTCAAGTCGTTTTCTTAAAACTTTCCCTTTCTTTTTGTATTAGGTTTCGTTTAACACAACACCGTACTATATTTGCTTCTTTTTTTGTCTTGCTGCTGCCTGATTGCGTACTTCCAGTTCCAAATGAGGTGTGTGGCTGACCATTAGTTTGTAACGCTGGCGTTTGTAACCCTGAGGTTCTACTGTAGTACTTTACTCATGGTGACTAAATAACAACCAGTGCTCTGCACTCCTATAGCGCCTTCCGTCTGGGAACCACAACGTGATTTACAAACATTAATGCCTCTGAGCTGTGTCTGTACCATTATCCCCATTTTACAGAAGGGAAGCTGAGGCTCCGAGGCAGGCAGTGACTTACTCAAGGTCACACAACGTGTTCATGGTAGAATGGGGGGGGGGGCAAACTTTTTGGCCTGAGGGCCACATCTGGGTATGGAAATTGTATGGCAGGCCATGAACGCTCACAAAATTGGGGGTTGGGGTGTGGGAGGGGGTGAGCGCTCCAGCTGGGTGTGCAGGCTCTGAGGTGGGGATGAGTGGTTGAGGTGCACGAGGGTGCCCTGGGCTGGGACCGAGGGGTTCAGAGGGCAGGAGGGGGATCAGGGCTGGGGCAGGGGATTGGGGCACAGGAGGAGGTCAGGGATGCAGGCTCCTGGAAGCAGCAGCATGTCCCCCCTCTGGCTCCTACACGGAGCCGCAGCCAGGCAGCTCTGCACGCTGCCCCGTTCGCAGACAACAACCCTGCAGCTCCTGGAAGCAGCAGCATGTCCCCCCTCCAGCTCCTAGGTGGAGGCGCAGCACCAGCCAGGCGGTTCTGCGTGCTGCCCTGTCCATAGGCGCCGCTCCTGCAGCTCCCATTGGCTGCGGTTCCCAGCCAATGGGAGCTGCAGGGGCAGCACTTGGTGTGGGGGAGTGTGCGGAGCCCCCTGGCTGCCCCTACGCATAGGAGCCGGAGTGGGGGCATGCCACTACTTCCAGGAAGTGTGCAGAGGCACGGCTCGTGCGGAGTGGGGACAGACCTCCGACCCCGCTCCCCAGCGGAAGCTCGAGGGCTGGATTAAAACGTCTGACGGGCTGGCCGGAGCCCGCGGGCTATAGTTTTCCTACCCCTGTGTAGAACCTAAACAAGAACAGAGGTTGCCTGATTCACAGTGCTCCAGCCACTCATGCTCTCCCTGTAAACACCTAATAGGAAAGTGAGGCAGAGAAGAGACCAATTGTATACCGGTCAGGGCATTCATCGAAAAACCTGGGATCTGGGCTTAACCGCACAAAGACAAAGAAATCCACGATTCAAATGAAAAACGCCGAATGACACTCCATCTACGATGTGAACCTTGGCTGCAGTGCATTCTGAATGCAGGCCTGGCTGGTCAGCTCGTGCCAGAGCCAGAGGAGAAGAGGGGCCGGGTTTACAGCAGAGGGAAGGATGATGGGGTGGTGTGCTAGGTGAATGTGGAGGAGACAGAGAAGAGCGGTGAGGGAGTGGAGCTGTCCCAATGGAGTGTGCAATGGTAAGAATACCGTGCTGAGGCCACAGGCTGGGGTGGCAATGGTGGCTGGAGCAGAGCAGTGGGGAAACTGAGGCAGCAGGGATATCAGCGAAGAAGAAGCAGTGGCAGGTGAGGGAATTGGAGGGAGCAGTGATGGAGGATGGGGCTGCCAGGGGCAGCAGAGGGAATGGGCGAGGGGAAGGACCAGGAAATATGAGAAGGTGGCAGTGTGTCTGAGAGTGCTGTGTGGGATCGGGGTAGCAGTCCAAGCGTGGGCCAAGGGTAGCAGGGGCCAGGCACTGAGGTGGCAACTGTAGCAGGCGGTTCTCTCAAGGAGTGAGACAGTGGAGTTGGGTAGCGGGGGCAGGGAAGGGGGCCGGGTACCAGATGGAGGGAAGGCTGAGGCGGCTGGGGGTTGGGGCTGTGGGGAGGGGCATGCAGTGAGGGGGGATGAGGCAATCGGGGTGTAGTAGTGGGCAGTAGGGGTGAACTCTGGGGGAGCATTGGGAGGCAGCAGGGGGAAGCCATGGGGAAAAACAGACATGGAGTGAAGTTGCAGAGGGAGCAGTGTGTTGGGGGGTGCCTCCTACAGGCGGCAATAGCCTGTTGTCATGTCAGGGCTGGTGGAGACAGACACACAAACCACTGACTTTTTTTCTTTAAAGGGAGTTATTATTATGGCTGAGTCTCAGAAAGTTCCCGCTATGCTTGCTCCAGATTTTCAGAACAGCTGCCGGAGGGTGAGCCCTAAAAATTCCAAATCTCGCACAATGATTTCCGAGCGCCGGCGAGTGAGTATCGGCCTTAGAATGGCAGCTGGGCTGCGTCTTCCACCATGGAGACGTGACCGGCTCCTTGCGAACCCCAACACTTGAGCTAAAAGCAGCACTCGCGGTCAGTCCTTAGCTAGAGCCCGGCTCTTTGTAAGGTGCTTCCGGACAACAGATGCACACCATGTCTCATGCTCATTCACTGGAGCCAATGAGAAAAAATCCCTTGTTGAAATCAAAGGGACAGGGTCAGACCCAGAACTTCCATTGAAACGTACAGCTCGGTAAAACTTTGGGTCGGAAATTTTTTTTTATTTTCTGATAGATGCAGATTTGCATCAACTGAAACCTTTTGTGAATTTGTGTCAAATTGACTAAACTGTTTTGGAAAAGTCCACATTTTGTTTTGACATTTTCCAGATGAAACATTTTGGGGGTTTGATTCAAAATGACATTTCTTTTTGAAATTTACTTAGAAATTTTTTTTTAAATGGATCCAGACCAAATTTTGATATATATTTCAGAATGTCCACTAAAAAAAAATCCATTATTCACATAATTCTAATGAAGTCAATGCAAACAGGATTGGGCCTATAAAAAAGTCACCAACACCTTTGCTTAATTACATGCTATTTTCATCAATTCTTCCACTGCACATGAATGTTCAAGGAGAGTTAACTGTACAGGAAGTGTGAAGACAAACTGATTTTGAGCTAGACGGAGACGCAGAAAGGTTAGACAACAGACAGTATTTCTAATTGGGGGAATATTATAAAGACCTGTATACAGTTGTATACATTGCGTTGAAACTTTGCATGTACCAGATTTCCAAGCTAGGGTTACAGCAGGATTAGAACAGGGCTTTATAATGGAAGCTGGTTGCAACCTTTAACCGTAGAGAGGTGACTGTCGCTCCATAACAATGGTATTATCATATTTTTCAGTGCTGTTTCCTCTCCTATTCCTCCTGCAACTTGATATTTTTGTTTCTGACGGCTGCTGCCCAGTGAGTCTGGGTTTCACAGAGCTGTTCACACGATGCCCAGGGCCTGTTCTAGCGTAGTTTTCGAACCCAGCAATGTGCACAAAGTGTTGAAAAGGCACATTACCTTGCACCTGTGAATTCCCATGTAAGGACTCTCTAGATAATCAGTGCTGTGAATTGTACTCAGAAACAAAACAAGCAGCAGAGTTTATACCAAAGGCCACATGAAGAAGACCTTAACAAGCAGGCAGCTGCATTCTCTGATGCTTCCGAGTGGTCTTCAAGGACAGTCTCAAGAAAAGTGCATTGCAGGAATCTAGCCGGGAAGTGACAAAGGCACAATCTGCATCAGGCTACAACTTCTAAGGCAACCAGAGATGGTAGAACATATTCCAGGAGCCTGCTGTTGCCAGGGCATCCAAGACCAGCCGTGGAGAAAAAGAACCCAAGAATGCATAATTCTGACACCAAGGGTCGGTGGGTAACAGTCACAGTCTGCATCAGCTATTCCAAATGTTTCCCTTAGCTGCCAGCATCATCTCTAGCTTGGCTAGACTGATCTTAAGCCAGTTAGCCTTTATTGCAGGCCCAGCCAGACCCTGGAAAGGCAGAGATTGCAGATTCCGAGTCTGAAGACAAAGTGAGACCTAGCTAAGCATGCTGATGAGTGTCACCCCAAATGTCTCTCCATCTCCCCCACATTAAATCACTTCTGCCGTGTACATATACTGGGGGATTTATTCTCATCTCCTAGACTTGCTGAGACATCGCCAATGAATAAACTGCTAGGTACATGTGTATGAGGGACACAAAAGAGGTCGCAATACGACTGGAGGCTGTCTACACAGCAATGTAAGCCTCGGGTTAGTGGGTCTCGAGTCAGCTGACCTGTGTCAGGGAACCCTGGGCTTGATTGTCTAAGTTGCATTTTAACCCTAGGTTAAGGATTTTCTGACCCGTGCTCAAACCTAGGGCTCTGGCATCCGCACTGCAGTGCACAGAAGTTCAACCTAATGAAGGGAGGAAACACACACACACACACACACACACACACACACCCCACCTGGCTGTTGCTGGCTGCGGAGCGGTAAAGTGCATGGCCAGGGCTTGGGGTGAAGCATGCTCCTGCACCTCACAGAAATCTCCTTATCCCGGCTCCTGACGCCCCCCGGGAGGCAGGGCTAAGGGATCCCCAGGAGGCTGTGGGGAAGTTTTGGGGGCTGGCTCCTACTCCCCACCCTGACCGTGCACACTGCCCGGTGCCCCTGCACACACAGCCCCAGGGAGGGCCCAGGAGCAAGGCACGGAGAGCAGAGCAGCAGAGCTTCTGGCTCAGCACAGCCAGCGGAGGGATGACCCCCAGGAGCCACCTCCCACCTGTCAGCTTTGCTCCCTGCTCCGGCAAACTCCGCGCAGCCAGGGGCGGCTCTATGTGTTTTGCCGCCCCAAGCACAGCAGTCAGGCGGCTTTCGGCGGCGCGCCTGCGGGAGGTCCACTGGGACACGGATTTGACGGCATGCCTGCGGGCGGTCCGCCGGTCCTGCGCCTTTGGCGTACCTGCCGCCGAATTGCCGCCGAAACCGCGGGACCGGCGGACCTCCCGCAGGCAAGCCGCCGAAGGTAGCCTGACTGCTGCCCTCACGGCGACCGGCAGGCCGCCCCCCGCGGCTTGCCGCCCCAGGCACGTGCTTGGTGCGCTGGTGCCTGGAGCCGCCCCTGCGCGCAGCCGCGAGGAGGAGCCGGAGCAGGAGCAGCTACTGTGAGAGGAGCAGGAACAGGGAACGTGCTCGGCCAGGCAGTAATGGCACTTCCAGCTGCTGCGCTGGCTGCCTGCAGCGCTGCTCCGCTGCCACCGGGAACTCTGGGAACATCCAGAGGACTTCCGGACCCAAATCAGGCTGGGGCCACGTACACACAGGAAAGCAGTAGGGCTCGGAGCTTCCAGCCCTGCAGGGTCCTAGGACCTTGGATCTGGAGCCCTAGGCTAGCACATTTACAGGGTGGACACAAGGGGGGTTGGCTTGTGCCCGGGCTCAGACCCGGCCTTAAATTGCTTTGCAGACATATCCTCAGCGAGAGATCCTGGCCTTAGTCAACAGGACAGTGGGAGTTCAGTGACTCAAGTCCGATAAATCAAGAGGAGAACAGAGCTCATCTTAGAAGAGGTGACAGCTGCTGTTCTGCCTCCTGGAACCCTCTTATCACGTGGTCACTGGGACAGCCTCGTATCTGTCCTCTTGAAGAAATGCATCTTGGGCCAAAATGTGCTGTCAGTCACGCCAGTGGACAGCCAGGCTATCTCCATTGAGTGCAAAGTGCCGAGAACAGGATTTGGCT